TTTATATGGAAGGTATGCGCCCCATGAACGTATCAAATTTTTGGCTTCCGGTGCTAGTGCATCGATTATGTCTTATGCCTCTTTAACATAATTTATTCGAATAGAATATCCAGTTCTTTAAAAATATTTTTGGCCCGAATCTTAATGTAAAACCCTTGAGATTATTAATATAGAGGGATTCATTGAAATTAAAATATGCCATCATGGGAAATGCATTTGGTGTAAGGAAACTGAGACTTGCGGAAAATTTACTTTATATATTTACTTTAAAGGACAATAAATTTAAAAAAAATATACGGTATATTATGAATATTGTGTTTTCATTACAATTCTATCATTGACCATACGAGTATATGTACGCTAACATACATTTAAAAGCTGCAACATATAAAATATCAAAAAGACCTAAAATAAACTAACATTTTTGTTTACTATAAATATACAATGAATACGTCTCTACAAACAAGTACAAACAGGGCAACCAGACAAATACACCTAAAATCAAGAATGAAACGCTGGTTGATAGAATTAGCCGGTTAAAATAGCCGCTATTTCGACTGCATGACCTCTATCCGGATATATGCACGGGTAATAGGTCTGTGAATCGGACAGACGATGCAAGCACTAATTGCCCGCACGCCGAAGGGCTGGATTAGCTCGATATCGATTTGCTGAGTGCACAAAGCTATATAATTTGAGGAGTGAGGACTGAGCCTCAGTGTACCGTAAAGCACTTCAGTTTTAATTAACAAGGTGATTGAGTGCACTTTGAAAAGTGACGTGTCGTTTTAGCTTTCTGTTTAGTTGGTATAGTGTTTATATCTAACTGATGTTTCGAAAACGAGAGCGCAGTTTTGTACATAGGTTATTAGAATTTATTGCTTTTCTTGAGATATTAAAGTAGAAATTGTCTTTATTACTTAAACACATAGTTATGTCTAATAGTAGTATTATGTATTTAAATTATATTAAATTCCAAAAGTATGTGTATTTCGCAATATTTTATATTTTTATTAGCGGCTCACCCTCGCTCCGCTTGGGTTCGTCCCTAGTTAAGTTTTAACGTTTAATAAAGATTTCTCAGATATGAGATGTTCTCTCGTAGTAAAAAGTATCCTATATGTTGACCCGGATAACTAGCCATTATCATACCAAATTTCACAAAAATCTTTTTCATGGTTTTCTCGTGATGCATTCCCAGACATACAGACAGACAAAAATTATAAAAACTATACATTCGGCCTCTGTATCGATAATAAAGACTATTTCAATAAGATTTTCCAAAAAAAATATTTAATGTACAGATTTGGCATAGTTAGAATTTTATTATATGTATAGATAAAAGATACATGAATGATTTCTAATTAGAATATAAAGCAAAATTTCAAGGAAAATAATCAGTCAGTGGGGTTCGTTATATCGATATTGATTTGCCGAGTGCGCAAATTGAGAGGAGCGCAGTTTAAGCAGCTTATTTACGTCTTTGTGCTGTTGTTTCATTTTCAATTTACCACATAATAAAGTATTAAATCTTAACTCTACGTGTATACTCTTCTTTATTTTATACTACGAAAATTTCTTGTTTGTTGTTTTTCATTAGTTTTACGTACTTTCGTGTCTCAATTTAATTTTTTTAAACATAATAATGAACATCCGGTATTATTCAAGAACCTTCACAATTTTTTTTTGTATCGGGAATCTATAGCACAACATACCTATACCGCCAATTTTTCAATATTGCAGAGACTTGGATCATCCTCGCAAACTCAGTACTCAGACCTCTCACAACTCACATAAAAAATCAGATAAAAAACAATTGATTATTCGCATTTCTTCATTCGTAAATTATGGGAAGGAAGTAAAGGTGAGAAAATGAATAAGAAAATATTATATTATAGAATGATCTTAAATTATAAAATTCAAAAACAATATCCCCTCTGAAAATTTACTAAAACATTCAGTACAAAGTGACTGTGTAGCACAGTGTGGCAGATTAATTCAAAATCCCTCTAATAAGAAGAGCTTCATGCCCTGCAGCGTGGAATTAAAAGGCTTAATTTACTCGACTGCTCTATATACTCAATGCAATAAAAGATTAATGAAAATATTTTCTTTTATTTTTACTCTAAACATTTCTAGTTCTACTTCTGAGACCAGAGTACCATTTTTAATATCGTTTCGCTTTCGCCGAGCTGATTTTTTTTAATTTGACATCGGAAAAATATCGTTACGTTCTGTGAGTTCTGGAATCGGAAATTAAAGTGCGTTTTCTGTACTACAGATGTTTTGTTATTTTTGGGTCGTAAAAGTTTTGTAGATGGCTTAAAAACACACGCAGTACATACTATATACACAGTTTTGGCTTAATTCAGTCTTTAAAAACTGTTTTCCCCCCACTAATTACACTTTCATTATGATTTTACTCCACTTTTCTTCACTTTTTCGTATTTCTTCTTCTTAGTGTTCTCTTAGCTCCGAAATTCAAAAGATCTCTCGATATACTGCCGGCATTTTTACGAGTATATGCATAAACAAAGAACATTCTAGGTAATCGAAATTTCCAAACTTTTCAAGTAATTTCAATTCTTTTCTGGAAACTATTTTGTTCTTATCGTTATTTTAAAAGCTTTGCGTCCTAAACCGATGCGATTTATTTATTTGCGACGATTCCTTACGGACTTGAATAATAACATTTACTGCAAATGTTAAAACTAAAATTTGGCAATTCAAAAGTGCTTGTTAAAAGTCTATTTGAATAAAGTTTATTTTGATTTGTATTGAGTATATACCTAATACCATACTGTCTACTGACATACAGAAATACATAATACTATACTAGTACAGATGTTTTTTTATTGAAATCAGATTGGTATTTTAAGAGATGGATGCATTCAAATAAACAAACAAACGAGTATTTTTTGTAAAAGTCCTTTAGTAAATGATTACAATACTTTTTAGTATATAGGTTATAAGGGCTACTCATGGACATTGGCAAATAGTGTTAATTACGTAGCACAGAGACTAATACAGTCGATAAGGTCTGTCACATACAGGCTAATGGTTGTATACATTAATGATCCTCTAGTCTCTAGATTAACATTATTGGTTACCCAATGTAGCTTAACTGTATGTGACGAATTATTCGTATTCGATTATATATTAAGTTCACTAGCGAAAAACAAAAACAAATCTTTCCCACGGAAACCGTACATTTTTCCGGGATAAAAAGTAGTCTATGTGTTCTGATGTATGAGCTATATTATTGTAAAGTTTCATCAAAATCCATTCAGTATTTTTTGCGTGAAAGAGTAACAAACATACATCTATACATCCATATATCCACACATCCATACTCACAAACTTTCACATTTATAATATTATATTAGTATAGATGTACTATTTTTTTATGAATCTAATTCTACATTATGCTATGAACATACTAATAACTAGCAGTACTCGCGGCTTTGCCTACGTTTAAACTTCCGATATAAGCATCAATTTTACAATACTGTATGGAAATCTGCCCGATTAGTTGACATTTATGATTACTGCACCGTGGGGTAGTATCATGATCATATATAACCTATAGTTTTCCTCAATAACGGACTATCTAGTACAAAAAGATTTTTCAAATCGGATTAGTAGTTCCTGAGATTAGCGCGTTCAAACATACAAACTAACAAATTCTGCCTTTTTATATTATTAGTATAGAGTATGGAGCTGAATGCATTTGTTTGTTACTTTACGCAATAACGGCTCAACGAATTGGAACAAAATTCTTCACATATGATAAGTGCATATAGTACTTTTATGAAGCACATACTAAAAGTAAATATTATTTATAAAAATTACCGGATTTTATGCAATATTAATGCAAGTAAAGCTTCCTATACACATACAATAAATTTTATTTAAAACAACTCTTAACAGAAAATGAACTAAAATTTTCAGACAGTAGGAAACTTTTAAAGTACTTTCTTAAAACAATGTAGAATATTAGTTATAACGAGGTAAAATATTGGGCTGGTCCAAGTATTTTATAGACTAATCGGACTATTATTTACGAATGTTTACATACGTGTGTATATACGAGTATATATGTGTGTGTGCGTGTGTGTGTGCATGTCTGTTACTTCTTCCGCCTTCACGGGTTTGGTGGAAATTTAATACACAGACTATTACGACCTGGAGTATGAAAATGAAAAAAAAAAAGTTTTTTTTGTTTGCACCAATCAACAAGTGTTGATCCTATTCCACCACTATCCGCAGGGGCTGAGTCAACGCTAAAAGCATGTTGTCTCCTTCAATTTGCCTCCGATGTCACATCGCACTCTGTGTTATATCTTGCCGCTGATATAATTTGCCCTTTCATTCCTACACTCCTAGCTAGTTCTTTTTTAAATCTAACATTGGCATAGCTCTTCTAATATGTAGAGTTACTCCGAATATGATATTCTAAAAGTCAACCACATTTTTATACTATTTTTACATTAAAACCAAAAATATTTGTTTTTAATTTATTTTTATATTTTATTTTATTATTAGGTTATAAAACAGTCTTTATATTTAAGTTCTACATTTTTAAGAATAGGTTAAAAATAGATACTTATAAGTTATACAAAGGTTGAATAAAACAAACAAATTACGTTTGAACAACAATAATCGTACAATTTCTCCATTCTAATATTATACGTAGAATTAAAAAAATCTGCCCTTTACAAGTATATTTTGTGTATATGTTTGTAGATTATAACAATTTTAGACACTTCAGTAGATTACTAACAGCTAAAGAATACTATTTTAAACGAAGTGTCAGGATAAAAACAATCAATGAAGCCATTAACAAGAAAATTGAATCAAAATATTAATTTTAAAAACAAGTTCTTTCTAGTAAATTATGCCACACATTGATTATTATTATTTATTAACGTAATTTAACATATTAACCCTCTTGATAATATTATCTTATTAATAAGAAATAAGATATAAATAAACATCTATGAATAAATCGAAATATCATAGTCCAGTGGCTCACCACGTTCACTCTTCAGTCGTATATTGACGTAGGTAGAGCCTAGGCCGCCAGCTGTGATGGTGGCTGATGCTTTTGTGTGGAGATTATCATATGCCATGATCGCCTGAAATTAAGATCGAATGTTTTTTAAGATAACGAAAACTTAAATTAGAATTAACTTTTTTATATATCTATCTGTCTGCTTGTTTTGTAAATCACAGAAACAACTAAACTTTTAATAGGATATTCACTGGCATCTAGAGAATTTGGATGAGAGTCATAATCATCATCTTCATCAGCCCAGTTTCGTCCACTGCTGGACATAGAAGTCTCCTAGTGCCTGCCACTGAATGTGACAATGATTAAACCTATATTGGTAAAAATGAGTTCTGGTTATGATAATATGATAAAATGAGTTATGGTATTATGATAAATAACGATTTAACTTAATACATTATTGGAGCATCTGGCAAAAGTTAGTTAGAAATAAGCACTAGATAATTATAAGGACAATGTAGACTAATAGTATTGAGAAATACTTCCCTGAAATTTTAAAAGAAATATCTTAAATATAAACAAATATTTATGCTATCAACAAATAAATTATTAAGTTACTTTTGAACTTAAGAAAGCTTGCTCAATACCAAGAATGAATGTACCTTTTTACTTACATTGATAGGTCTAAGATCAGGACTGGAAAAGAAAACGTCTTTTACTCTTTTCATAAAAGGATAATAGTGATATTGCGCTGTCGTGTGGTAGATCAAATGTTTGTTATTTGCATCTCCCACAATTAAATGTTCGCATTGCACTAGCAAGATACCAGCGAATAACAAAAATAGAAGAGTTTCAGCCTTCATTGTTAAAACTTGGATTGTTTCACACGTATTGAGCTTGTTTATTCAAACAATTTTCTGGACGTGACGCGACGCTGCGTTTACAGAACTGAATAACAGAATCACACAAAGTTGATTGAGTAAGTGATCCTCACATACGAGAACATTCATCTGGTATATATACTCGTATATCAGTAATGGTTGAGATAGCGATGTCAATAACAATTAATACTTTCCTGTCTGGCGTCTGCATATGTGTGAAACGTGCTAATTGTAAAATTGTAATATTAATATTCGGTTGTTATTGTTATATACTTAATGGCGTGAATAATTACATCCTTAAAGGAAGTTTTGGAAAACAAAACATGTTCATCTACCAGAAAGCATTAGCGGAAGTCTAACATATTTTATTGTCATTTAATTCCATAAAGTGGGTGGAATCGTACTTATTCTGCATACCATTCCTGCAAGATATATGTACAGGTACAAGTACATATTATTTAAATATTATTACACTAGCTACTTATCCTTGCTTCGCGTAGGTTCGTCCCTATGGATGTTTTCACAGTTAATATGAAATAGATTATATATATTATATACATAGGTATGATGAGTTTTATATCCCTAACTTGAGAAATGATAGATTCTCCATACAAACTTCCATCCCCCTTTTCACCTTCTTAAGGTATGATTTCCGGGGTAAAGTATCCTATATCCTTCCCAAAGTCTCAAACTATCTCCATACCAATTTTTATCTCAATCGGTTTAGCCGTTTAGTCGTGAAAAATGTAACAAATAAACAAACAAGCCAACAAACAAACAGACTTACTTTCGCATTTATTAGTATGGATTATTTTAAACTTTGTACATATTTACGGCTATAAGAAACTTATTAAAATAAATCCGTTTTATTCATAGTTTTCAATGAAATTATATAAATCATACTATTGTGAAATAAGTTTTCATTTCAATACAGTAGGGTAGCACGCAGCCGAGCAGACAATAGGAGTCCGACGGAAATCGCGACCGAAGGCATTTTCCATTTTAAATGAGAGGGTGAAGAAAGGGTTCGTGTATTAGTCCGAATCCATTCTGTGTCTTCTGGCAGAATGTTGGAAACAATCTACTCCCCTATTTTATGGCGGGCGTTGTCAGGGCTTAGTAAAGAGGTGGGAGGCACGCCGTTTACTAGGAAATGGCAGTATTTTATAAATTGGGACAAAATTTCTTGTTATTCTACCGAGAACCAAGGAATAAACTTCTACAGCGTTTAATTTCTGTAAATTTTAGATCTGGCATTGTATTGTGTACATTATGATGATGCAATCATTTAGAGTTTAGAGGCTTAAAAAATTATTTATATTCTTTGAGTTAGTTTTCACGTGTATCTCTATTTTTAAAATGAGGTGTAAGACATGTTATTTCTAACTAATATAATACATTATATTAGAGAGACATCTATAGTAAGTGATGCTATCACGAACATGGATGGTATTTTTATCCATCATTTATCACACATAGTAATAAATCAGTATATTTATTGGGGTGGAGCGAAAAAAAAATTTTTTTTTTCTTAATTTCGGTGTAGAATACAAATTCTAGCTTATGAAAAAAACAATATTATTGAAATAAAAAAATACCTAACAATTTGAGGTGGCCCACTGATTTTGATAATAATTAATTAATTTAAATTTTTGGTTTGAATGAATTTTTTTTTGCACGTCATCATCTTTGAAAACATTCAAGAATTGACGAATATAGTCATTTTCTACTTAACTTTCACTGTAATATAAAAAAAGTTACATTTTATTAACTTTTTTTATTATTGCAATAATATCTACAATATTGCAGTTAGTAGTTGCAGTTTTTTTCATTTCAAAAATTTTGGTAATTTTACCCTCAATTTTTTTTTTATTTTTTTTTCGCTCTACCCTAATATTTATGATTTATTCATTTTCAACATTATTCGTACCTTTGGAGAACTTAATTTTAACTGAATTTTATATAGTACCTACTGAAAATAAAATAAAACATTTGAAACCGATATGATAAAATATATTTAAAGAACACTTCGTTCTTCACCTTTATACCCTTTACGTATATAAAATAAGTGAATAGAAAATTTTAAAAAGGAGTCTGCATTTTAAAGCTGCCAATAAAAATAGCTGACTATAAAATCGAAGTAAACTTTTTTAAAGTATGAGCTAAAAGCTGTTTACCCGTGATAAGGTTGGGACAAATGCGACAAGCGTGTCTTTAGGGGAGGCCGTTATCGCGTCAGTTCATGTGGGTATTACTCTCCTGCCAATTTCATATACAAAATGAAGCAAAATGGGCAAATAGATAAGTTTTTGACTCGTTTATGTCTTGAAATATAATGTTACAAATATTTTTTAATTTGAAATGATAATTTTTACTGTATTATTTTTGGTTTAAGTTAGTTTAGCCTTACAATTTTTTCGTTGAATATAAACATTTTATAAAGGGAAAATGATGGCTTATAAAATGTTAGCTATAGGATATAAAGACAAATGTTTGAGGACATGTCACTCCATCTCAATCGATGCCGACTATGCATGTTTTATTAGTTAAATACGTTTGTTTTAACCAGGATGGGATAAATAATTTCTAGAAAAATAACATTTATTCCACAATATTTAAAATTGAATCTGCTACCTTCGATGCAGTCCCAGATACCTATTGAAATGTAAAATGCGAAACGAACACTAGTTTATTTTGTATTCAATTCTCTATATCAAAACGATGTGGAAATATTTTTTAAAGCCAATATACCTATAAATATGTTCCAAAAATACATTATATTGCCTATAGGGTTGTGTAGGGCTAAAACGTCACGAATAGATAAGCCCTGCGGTATCAACGTAATTTGTTACTCACAGTGCTTAGCGTCACGATAGCAGCCGTCACAACAAATCTTCCCAAACACCAAGTTCTGTTACACATGTTATATTTATTTTTAAAATGGAAAATATTATTTATTAAAATTATTTTTAAATTTTATTTACATAATAATATACTTAAGTGATAAAACTTATTACAGTATTGGTATTGTAATATTTTTTATCATTTAATATTCATATATATCTAAAGATACAGAAAAAGCTAAATAATACCCAGATATTACTACACAAAATAGGTAAATTGCAAACACACATTAACTAGTGATATGTTAGCAAATGTATAAAGGTATTTTATTAAATATTATAAATGCATGCATGAAATAGAATATATACGAATATTTGTGTTTCTAGAAATACAATATGCAATCCAGCGGGACCACCACGCATCGACAATTCATGTTAAGATAAGCGTCCCGATATAATTTGTTACCCATCGCTATCTCTTATTACCGAGATAAGTAATATTATTATAAAAGCAACTATAAAGTAGAAGAAATATTATGTCCTTTGTCCTCCCGCGTCCGATGTTCAAAAATGAAATTCTTTAAACTGCTACCATTTTTAACCGGGAAAATGAACCTTGAAGCAGTTAATTTCAAATTCTGTTAAAACCCTTTGTTTTCTAGAACGTTTTGTTTAATATTTTATGATGTTTACTTCCAGCTATCACATCTAAGACAAAAAGTCATATTACAATTGCTTTTTTTAATTATATTAAAATGTCATAGAATTATCTATTATATAATTCTCATATTATTTTTTTAAATTTGTATTCTTCAATGATCGTAGGATGAAATCTAATCGAAGCCCTATATTTAAAAAATTATTAAGTAGAAGTTGTTATAACTTTAATTTTATTTATTACCTTTAGTACATTATTTATATACTTCCAGCAACTAACCTGTCATCTGTACCCGTACATCAGTAGTTTAACAGCATATATTCTTAACACACGATACCACTAATTCGATCTACTCAGAATCCTTGTTTTATGCTAGCTCCCTGAATCACACTTTTGGCTTTAGCCCAATAGTGTCAACTGTTAATAGACAGCGCACGTGGCAAGATTTAGAGGCTCCCTACATTTTGTTCGGAACTCGTTTCAAGGGATTTTTCACGATTAATTTTCTACTCCAGCCTTCAATTCCATTTGCGCACTCTGACAAATACCCGGATTAGTGTAGTTTGTTTGGGGTTTGCTGAATGTTTACGTTTTCGAGTGTCGCTTTCAAAAATAAAGCTCTTATGTGGCCAGATTAAGCTTTACATAGTAATTACCTGTGGTGTTTTAACAAATATATTGATTTTTCAATGTAGGATAATATAATAAAATTTTATCTACGTATCCATTTTATATCGTCCATTTAATTGCAATACGTCGTATTTATTAGTCTGCAATTTATTAGTCTAAACATAATATAATTAGTTCGGATCGAGGTATATGCTTGTGTTTGTACGTGTACTCTTTACTGCTCAGACCATATTACTAATATACTAAATATATAATAAAGCTTTCACATATCTTTGCAATAACAAAATATGTATTATAATTTCATTGTATATTTTCTTACTTTAAAAATATTTAAAACAACATAAAAAGTGAAGAAACAACATAATTCACAAAACGAAATACACAAACAGAGCGAGTTAACTAACACGAATGCATTATTTTATTTCTCCTCGGGCTACTTAATATAGTCCAACGTAAAAATAGCCATTACTTTTAATTTACAAAACATACCGCATATCTGTTTCGAGTTCTTTTCCATTAGAGCTTCCTTTTTATCTTCTTAATTGATTTGTCGCTAAAGCCGTGCATCTCAATTGTAGGAGAGGTTGAATCGCGAATGTCTGTCCTTTATTTATGGTCAGGCAATTGATTGAATTAGTGGCCCTTGAGGCGCTTTGCCCGACAGACTTGCTTTATAGAGCAGGATATTCATTTCCTAGGCGCCATTCTGTTCTTATTGAACTGGTATCTAAGCTATTATTACTAAAAAATTTGCAAAAAGTTTATCTTCTAACATTAAGTATATCAATGAATATGATTTTGACGGCTCAGTTTGTACCCTACTTGCTGCGCCAGCGGTCGCGGGTTCGAGTCCCGCTGGGGACATTCATTTGTGTGATGAGCACGAATGTTTGTACTCCAGTCATGGGTGTTTATATTTATAATAAGTATGTATTTAAAGTTATATATGTGTAGTGTATCAACTATCTGGTATCCATAACACAAGCCTCGTAGCCTACCATGGAACTAGATTGTGCTGTGTGTTAATGTCCCAACATATATAATGAATATGGCAGTAACAAAATAAGATAGGTAATAATGGTTTTTTTTTAAACTAGGTATAATTAAAATATTCAAAATTAGAAAATATAGATCTTTAGTTGTGATTTTGGTTATTAAAAAACTAAGCGTCTCCTACAGATTGATTGAAATAAAACTCGGTAGTTAATGAGACAACGACAACAGTCATAAAATCGTCCTCTCACGGACTCGTTTTATTGTAGCCCGTGCGTCCTCTGTAGATATAAATGCTAAAAAATACATTTAAAAATAAATAATTAAATGCGATTATAAACTACATCAGTAATGAAAGACTGCTGTACACATTATATGTTTTTTAAGTTTGGTTATGTATTTATTATTAGGGTTTTCGTTACAAAATTTCCTTTTTACCAAATTACATTTCACATCATATGTCGAGATAAGTCAATACGCCCGACTCAGACATAAAACCTTATCATTCAGACGCAAGCGGCACGTGCCGGTGATCTGTATCGTCGGAAGGCTTACCTGACACCAGTCCGAGTGGTACGTGTCCCGCATGTAGTAGCAAAGTATCTGATGCAGAAATAAACTTGCATTTTATATTGAGCTTTCGTACAGTATTTTCTTATTTATTGGTAAAAAAAATTCTCTGAGTTCTCTTTGTTTTTATATTTTTTTAGATATTACCTGTGACACTTCGCTTGGTTTAGTCGCTTCCCTAGTGGCACTTTGGAATATTCAAACACCCTACGGGAAATATTTGATATAGATGGGTAAAAAGAAGATAGAGTATCTATTTTGGTCTGTTTCGTCTATTATCTATTGACGGTGGTCGGTGCTTTCTAAGCCGAAGATAGCTAGTTTGATTCATGTTGTAAGTATTTTCATTGGTCCATTAGTTAGTAAGGAAGTTAAATTATAGAGAGTTCACATGTTAATTGGATTTTTAACTAAGACTTCGTTTTTGTTTTACTCTACATTTAACTTCGTTTAATATCCAGTAACTTTTTCTAATCTACTAACATTGCACGAGAACCATTTTATATATTAGAAAGAGTAGTCTATTTAATTTTTCACTTGCAGCGTGTAAAAAGTACAAATGAAAACACCAATGATAAATACACTTTCGCAATTATGAAACTTTGTACAGAATTTTTCAATTCTTTTCCTTGTTTATATAATAATAATGCCCTTCTGACACACCTGAACCAAATCACCGACAACTATCCTAATCCGGGTTGTTACTGAGAGTTCCTTGGCCCGAGCCTGGGCACGAACACGGGACCTCCAGATGCAGATCTATGCATACATGCATTTAGTGGCTACTAGACCACTGAGTCGAGAGGTGTTGTTTATATAGCTCATTTAATAACTTTATTACAACTAAAAAAGTATAATAACTTCAAAATCACTTTAAAAATATAATTAATTACTCCACTTTTAGGGGCGGATTTTTTTTCTTGAAATGGGCATAGAACTATGTATATACAATTAAATTGTAATGTCTGTCGCATAATGTTTAAAAATAAAAACATACAGTCGAATTGAGTACCGCATTTTTGAAATCGGTCAGTAATATTCAATCTAAAATAAATTATATTACATATTCAATGGAAAGTCATTCTGGACCAAAATACACTAGCAAGTGCAAACAGAACACGTTCATGAATATTTCAATAGCGTGGAGTTAATGAAGGAAGCCTCCTTTGTCTCAAACTGATAGGTTAATTACGAAGTCCGACGAGAGAATCACTTTGGCAATGTTACTAGATACGACATACGATACAGAAGTTAATATATTAAGATCTTATTATAGTTATTAAATTGTTTTCTTAAGTTTTATATTTTTTTATTTATTTCTGTTTAGAATAATTTAGTTTTATTAGTCTATTTTAATGATTAATAATAATTTTTCACACATAATATGTCATTTTATATATTTATTAATAATTATTAATATTATTTAATTTTAAGTGAAATTCGTTTTAAACACACAGCATTAGGTTTACTAGACTTAAATGTTATCTGTACAAATATCTAAGTTCCGAGTCTTGTTCGAGTTACTTTTAGTTTGGTTTTACCATTTATCTTTTATGGAATGATAAAAATGCATTTGTTTTAAATAATTCTATATTCTAGTTCAATGCTAAATCCCTTTCAGATTACACAAAGAGCTTACTCTGACCATACAAATATACCTATGTAGTTAATAATAATCGTAAACACAATATCTACTGATTTGATACTTAGTTACTTTATGTACCTCCTAAATTACTTATCCTATCTATATTTCATTTTAATCATAAACTTAATCACTGTAAAATTAAACAGTAAGGTACCCGACAAACAAGTTGCGAAAACGTGACTTGCATGCTATAGAAAACTAATTGGCACGTCCGAAAACTTGTGACAGGTAGATATTTACTGAAATTATGTAATTTTGTTTTAATATAGGGCTTAATTATTTAAATTAGCTACAATATATAGTAAAATATAACAGTCGAGTTTATACTCGTAGAACATTGCATATTGTCATTCACAAATAATGAATTACGTTCATTAAGTTTTTACTTTACAGCTTTTGTTTTGTCTAATAAACTGAAAATAAGATCGAAGTGAAATAATTTTAATTGGTGCAGATGATCACAATATGAAATTTTAAGATCTTTACAGTTACAATAATCATAAAATTTATAAATAGACATTAAAACGATTGTCTGCAGGTTATTATTTACGCTGTTATTTATTAAGTACCTGTTAGTTTAATACTTGTAAAAGCTTGCAACTCCCTAGAATTTAAATATATATATTTTTTTTTTTGGTTTTTAGATTGCGACTCAGATAATATAAGTTATATTGTTATTATACATTTAATACTAGTTTGTGGTTGCAATTAGAAAAACCATTATTTTGTCTTTAAGACTAATATTCCAATATAACATACCTATCCAGTTTAATCTAAATCTAATCCTGCAGTGTAGGTAACTGGGTGTGGACGTGATGAGCATGCTCCGTAAACGCAATTGACACGTTGCGGAAACGTAGGGCATTTCCGGCTAAGTCTGATGTCAGTTTTGTTTTATAAAGACAGTAGTTTGTAACAGTATATTGTGAAGGATAAGTAATATTTATAAGATGTTAAAAGTATGATATTTTTATTAATTTAATAATTTTTGGTAACTGCCGATGTAGGTAATTTTACATAATAAAATTATAAAATTTTCGATATATTGTAATTTTGTGATAACTTTCAGAAGCTCTTATTCACTTGCAGCTATGTAATCAAATCTTGGAAGACAAAATTAACTTTCTCCTATTTGTCGGATCCTTTTGAAAATTTGTAAGTATTTGTAGATATCAGTATATAGTATAGTTTCAGCGCGCTGATCTAATGTTGTTATGAGGTAGGATGTGGATAATGAACTTATTCTCTTCGTCCGGATGCAACCCTGTGTATCTTTTATATTTGTAATATTTTAAACAGGTAGTGCCACTTTTTGCCGAATCTGTATACTAAGCATTCAAATCCATCTAGCAAGGAATAACAAACAAACGTATAAATTTTGAAATTTATTGTAAAATGTAGTGTGATTACAACAGGTGACGAAAATCGTGTATTTTTAGACTATAACATAATAATTATTGGTGCCATGAAAATGCATGTAAATTTTGAATATTAACTTGTATTAAGAAATGGGTTCAAATTAGGTGGGAGTGTTGTAGTTATAGTTAATTGAACCCTACATTATCTGTAGTAAATAATATTTTTTAAAGTACAACACTATTTTGTCTATGTCACTTCTTTCAAGTTATATCTCGTTAATAAAACTACGTACGACTTATCCAAGTATATTTTTATTAATTACATCAATTTATATATACCATACGAATTTAGGTTAAAATATGGTTTTAAAAGACATGTTTCGATTTCTTATATAAAATTATTGTTGAATTATCCTAATTTATTAAAAATTAAATATAATGTATATTATACATATACTACTACTGTATAAAAACAAATTACTTAAAACTGGTTTGAATTGTGAAAAATTTAACGTCGACCGCAATGTCTTTATATTAAATTAAAACCAGTCGCTAAATTTTTCGTTTTTATTGTACAACATATCAGAAGCATCATAAAGATGTGTTAATTGATCAATTTATCAATTATAATTCGTCAAAGTAACATTCTTCAGTTATCTGATGATACCCATAAAGCTCAAGTTCGCGAAAGCTCCACTGAGTCGGCGCGAAATGACATCAAGAGTGGGGGGGCAGTAACCTTTCGGACGCGAGACGGGGTGGGTGTGTCACCTTAAACTCTGTATACATCGCAATGTTCTCGTAAACTAATTATTATTTACATATTAAAACTTTTATACTATATCTATTGAATGATTTATTTATTATTGACATTATTATATAGATTTTGAACGGAAATTTGTTCTAGTGCGTTATTTAGTGAATATGTGAAGTGCAAAGTAGCAGTAATCAGTAGTATCAGTATGGTCGCGGGGGTAATTAAAAGAGATAAACGTGCATGGAACCAGTTTAAGTCTGTTGTCATTCTCCATCTTTTGTTCACTTTTCATGCGACAAAAGGTAAGGAAAAATGAATAAAAAATATTTAATCGTGTTCTTTCGCCAATTACCCGTGTCCGAGCGGGCTTAATGATACTGATTTCGCTTGTTTCGCATTAAATATATTATGTAAAGCATACCAATTTATTATAATAATTATAAAAGTATTCATATTTATATATGCTAGATTATTATTATTTTAATTTTAATAATACTTAATGTGAGATTTATAGTGATTTTAGAAAAATATAAGAAAATAATAAAGAAATAATAAAGAATTGCATGTTTTTTAAATAATAAATATAAAATATATACTGTATTGTAACAACTAGCCTTTTCCAAAGTAATTTGATAATATTGCGAAGTACATAATAATTTAAATTAACTTTATAATAATTGCGACATAATTTTGTGTGTGTAAACACTTTGTGTATAATACGCAAAACTATGTCGCATCTGTGTAATATGAGATTATTGTTTTTAAACAACACATTGTGAAATAAACTTGTTAGGTTTTTTGAAAGTATTACAATGATATTTAAAGGTGGTATTTTATCAACAATATTTTAACTTTATATTGAATAAAAAATTATATATGATCATTTTTCTAAAAGCCCAAAGCCGGGCACCTCGCATAAAGGAGCATCCTGCAGACACGATAGTCGGGAGAAGTGAACCTGCTACCCTACGGTGTGTTGCTGAAGGAAAGCCTAAGCCTACCATACTATGGTATAAAGACGGGGCACCGCTTGGTCATACAGAACACCCTCACAGGGTTTTACTGGAAGATGGGCTGTTGTTTCTCAGGTAAAGTATTAAAGAAAATTTTATTTTGCGTATAATTTTCAACATCCTGTAATATTATTATTTAATGACCTCTGTGCCATATTACGCTGCTGACTCTATATATACTTATTACTTACGTAATAAGATAGACTAAGTTTTGGACGACCCAATTGGGTTGACTTACCCTCTTTGTTAAACCAATACTAAATCAGGAATCCATCTCACGGGTTTTTCCTCGCAATAGCAAATATTGAAACGATAAATATTTGCCCTTACCTTTGCCAAATAGAGGAATTGATTCAGTGTATCTAAAAGTTATTTTTAAGCAGTAGGTAAATATATACATATGTATATGCACATATAAAAATTATTGTCTGTTTTTAACGTGCCTCTTATACCATTGTGACAGTTGTTGTCCGCTTATATATAATTTTTCACATAAAACCATCAATGCACGATAGGTGGCATGCTAGTGATATCAGGTTATTTGAGATTTATGCAATGGATGTTTATATATGTGTGTCGCGTTACTTTATGCCAGGGCAAATCCAGGACAGATCACTAGTTATTCATAGAATACTTACCTACTTGATAAAGTTTTTTAATAATAAAAAAATATATATTAAATATTACACATAATTTTGATATCTTCTCGTTTCTATGAAAAATTAAGGGAAAAAATAAAAAAGTTTTATATGTCCGATACTTTAAATTTATATCACGAGTTTATGTTACACGTACACAATAAAGTTTTACGAGGTAAACCTTTACAAATGCTCCCTTAGCTTATCATCTCTATAATACCTTTTGTTGTAGGGTTATGCGTAGCAAGAAGGAGAGCGACGAGGGCGTGTACTGGTGTGTCGCGCACAATACCGTCGGGGAAGCAGTTAGCAAGAACGCAACTCTTACTATTGCTGGTATTGTTAAACAATTTTTAATTATATTTATTTTCTGTTTTTCTACATATAGATTATAGGTACTTTATTTCATTAAAATAGTTATTTTAGATAAAGTATCATATTTTTAAATTTATTATTTAATAACTATAGTTATTTATTATTATTAATACTTATATTCAAACTTTTTTATCTTCTCAAATACTTTCCATTCGGGAATACTTTTAATAGAACAGACTAACATTAGAGTTAGTAGTTAGTAGTGCAAGTAAGAGCAACTAAGACAGCACTAAAATGTACACGTCTCTTAAAAGCACACAGGAGACACTTTGAAACACTTTAAAATCACTGAATAATTCTCGAATGAGTAATAAAAGTTTTAATGACTCTAAGAGTCCATTGAATTTGCTTAAGAACAAGCGTTTCTAGCATAATAATGAAAAATTATTTCTTTAGATAAAATTTTATTTAATGAATGCTAGCGATACCCTTAGCTCCCTCTTAGCTTTATAAAATTTCCTGCTTTATTTTACAAAATGTAAGTAATAACAGATTTTCTTCTTACTCTAACGAAAATCATTAATTTTAACTCATAAACAGTTTGTATTTATTATTTTTATGTAAATTTTTACTTCATAATACTCATAAAGGAAATTTATATTTTTTTAAACAATTAAACCTTGTTGATAATAATTAAAAATAATGTACAGTTTGCAGAGTTTTTTATAGAATTTAGGTTCGTTTAAAGTTTGATTTGTATGCACAATATAATATAAGAAAATTTCACAGTACTTCGTGAAGAATTTAGAAATGAACCAAGAGATGTTAAAGTAGCTAGTGGAGAACCCGCTTTACTCGAATGTGCCTCACCAAGAGGTATACCTGATCCCTCAATACATTGGATGAAAGATGGACATAGTTTAGACGTAGAAGTAAATGGAAGGTACATAAATTTTATGTCAATCACAACTTACACGAAAAATGGAACGACAATATTTTAATACATTACTCGCTTGCAGGATAACTATTATTGACGGAGGAAATTTAAAGCTGTTAGAAAGTTTGCCTTCAGATAGCGGAGTTTACAGATGTGTGGCATCTAATGTTGCCGGGGAAAGACAATCACGTCCTGCTACATTACTCGTATTACGCAGACCACATTTTCTAGTGAAACCTAATAACATAACGGCATTAATTGGTCAGAACATTGAGTTTCATTGCCAAGTAAGCTTGCGATATATTTAATTTTATTTTGCCTCTGTACATGTTTTATAGGAAGTATTAAATTACAGTTTGCTTTTAGGCGTCGCCAGAATCTGATGTTTCGGTGACGTGGTCGCGTGATAAAGGAGTATTGTCACCTTATGCCATTATAAGACGAGGCTCTCTGAGAATTGATAGAGTATTGGCTTCAGACGGAGGCACTTATACTTGTCGGGCAGAAAGTCAAGCTGGATTTAGTGTTGCTAGTGCAACATTAACGGTTCATTGTTAGTACTTTATTTTGTTTGTGATCGTAAGTTCTTTTTTTTTAAAGATGTATTAGAAAAAATATTTTAATTTTAGCATTACCGCATTTTACGAGAGTGCCTTCAGACCAAACAGCATGGGAAGGGGAATCTGTTTCATTTCCCTGTGAAGCTGAAGGGACACCGAAACCAATTGTATTTTGGACAATGGAGGGTTCACAGGTAAATTAATACATTTTTATATTTTTTAATGATAAAATACCGTCTTAAATACATTAATGCATTTTATTACAGGAATTAATATTTCAAAATTCAATTCATAGTACAGGGTCACTTTATTTAGACCGAGTTCAAGTACAGCACGCTGGTAGATTAACTTGTGTGGCTGTTAGTGCTGCAGGCAGCGCTTTGCACACTATAACTTTACAGGTAAAAATATATATTGTCATAAACGTAAATTTCCCAAAAAATAAAATATATTTTTGTATTACTTACATTTTATTTAAACTTTTTTTAGGTATTACGAAGAGAAGCTAATTCATTTAACGGTAATTCTGAAACATCTTCTCCATATCCAGAACTGAATAAGCCCCAAAACCATCCACCGATGACCCAATATGAATTAGTCCAAGCACGTCGATATCTACAACAAGATGTTTTAGCTTTAAGACGAGTGGAAGGAATTTCCTCTACAACTTTAAAAATAGTTTGGGATGTAAGCCATTTAATCTATATTAAGAATTATATAGGATTAACTAGCTTTAACCGATATTATCTTAGCATCTTTGCTTTCAGGTATTAACAGATTACAATGAATACTTAGAAGGAGTAAAAATATGGTTTAACGGAACGTCTTTAAACCGACAATTCGCTTTAGATTTACAAAATTATCAACAATCTAATAATTCTTTAGAAAGTTTTATGGAGCTAACGAAATATGACAATTTTACGATGACCACAGTCCATAATAGTGGTTCCTCAAGTCATTTATTAACAGGGTTAATGCCATATGCACAATACAATATATTTTTGATGCCGTTTTACAAATTACTATTAGGCAAACCGTCCAATATGAAAAGTGGTTTGACGGAAGAAGACAGTAAGTTAAATCATATACATTGATGATCTTTATTTACTGTTTGGTAATTTTTAATACTGTTTATTTAATTTTAGTTCCTACAGCTCCCCCTCAGAATGTTTCCGCGGGAGTTATTAACGCTACATCAGCTTGGATTCGTTGGGATCCTCCGCCAATACATTCATGGAATGGCGATCTTTCCGGCTACTTGGTATAATGCTTATCTATATTATTACTTTTTAATACATAATGTGTGCTAGTGATTTTATAAAGAAAAAAATAATATAATTATACAATATACGTATACGGGTAAAATCTGCAGCAAGCTGTAACTATTTCATAAATACTTATCAATCAAAATGTCGAGCTTTAATGTCCATATAACTACCCTACATTTGTCTCTCAAATATTTGTCCTCTGTATTCCACCTTTTTTGACCTTAAACAATAGATCGAAGTACGAGTGGGTGGAACTAACAACGGTCGAGTGGTAGGCCAGATGTCATTAGGATCGCGTACTAGGGCCGCAGCGGCTAGCTCTTTGCGTGCAGGCGGTAGGTACAGTGCACGTGCCGCGGCTGTGACGCGTCGTGGGCACGGGCCGTTCAGTGCGCCTGCGCATATACACATGCTGCCTACGCATTCTCAACGCCATTACGTACAGTAAGTGCATAGTTAATAGCTTTTCTCTGAATTAATAATTTGGAGTTCATTATAAATTCGTTTGTATGCTACTTACACTTGAATAATTTTTTCTTGAGTACATAGCTTTAAAATATCGATAATTATCAAGTAGTACCTACTTTCGTAAACAAAATATTAATTTTGCATGCTACCTTAATTTTCAGATATTTTTACCCCATCATGCTAAAACACACATTATATTAATGTTTTGAATTTATTTCAGTTATATTTACTATTGTAAAAAATAACACGGTAAAATATTATTTTCAGAACTGAACCAGCCACAGATAAAGCCATATTAACAATGTTTCAAGAAACCTGGCTTCTTATACTTAGTTTATTTCTATTAATAATTATCATATTAGGCACAGTTACCATAGTTTTTTTGCGGCGTAAACAGTTAAAGCAACGAAAGAATCATAATAACACTGGTTAGTTGGTTTATATTCAATTTTGCGAGTTTCAATACAATTTTTTTAAGAATTTTGTTTTGTTAAATATTCGATAATTATGTAAAGTGTATAATATCTTTGATACAGGTACTCCAATTACAAACGCACAATGTTTACTCGGTAAAGAAGCAGTATGGCTTCGAGAAAGACCGTTGTACGAAGGATCAAACGAACCAAGAATAGAAATTTTAAACTGTCATCAAAGTTTATTACACAGTAAGTTTTATAAAATATTTTTTTAGGGAAATACGTAATAATTAATGTTAATTATTTATGATAGTAATAACTTGTAGGTGGACACACGATAGGTACTATGGCCATGGAGGCCGAATACAGTCTTCCACAACACACTAGCGCAATAAATATGATGTCGCAAGAAGATAACAGGAGACACGCTCCTGAGCCGTACGCTTCTAGTGCTATATATACTGAATTAAATTATCAGGTAAGATAAATATATTGGTCTTCAAAAAAAGGAAGTGCTGCATTCGGGTGTTTATTTTTTTATAATAATCAATGATGACATTTTAAAAGTGAAGGTGGTCTTCCTTTTTCAACCATATTATTTTAAATATCAAGAAAAAACTTTATATATAAAAAGAAGTTTATTTTTAAATGATTTTTCTGTCGTATCTGAGTGTGTTTTAGCAAAAAAGTATTTACTTATTTAGTTTTTCAATTAACATAATAAAGCTTAGTTACAGGACCATACTGACGCAGAGGATTCATGCATAAAATGTGCTGTGAGTCCAGAATCCTATGACAATAGTATGGTACGGTCATTCGCCGATAGTAATCAATATTCTAACGAAGAGTGTTCGACGTGTTGTCGTAGTAGCAGTTCAACACTTACAAAAGATTATAGTGAAATGACTAAATGTGGGAATGATGCTGACGACATACAAGATATGCAAGACATGTCCATAGATGAATGCCCGTCTTGTAAAACTGCGCAATCACGATCGTCTAGTCACCATGGTGAAAATAAGGAGTGGACTGCCTTAGCTGAGGTAGAATACGATTATCCCCAGTGGCAATGGTTAGGTAGAGAAAATAGTTTTAGGCAAATGACGCAAGAATCAAAACATTCCAGCCAAGGAAGACGAAGCGAACAAAATTGTAGGGTGAATTTATGTGATATACTTCCACCGCCTCCTTATGAAAGGTAATGAATTTTAAGCCTACAGCTACTTTTTTATTACGTATTCAAAAATTAAATTTAAGAAAGGAAAGTATAAGTATGTTATTCTTATTATAAAAAATTTAAACAAGCTTTAGAATTAAATGTGATTTTACTAACATCTATAATTTATCATATATTTTTTTCCAGAGAATCGCCATATAGAGAGATGCACGCGTTTGCAAGCAACTCTGGCGCCTCAGGTTGCTCAGGTCGTACTTACCACAGCTAATTCACTTGGCGAAAAATATCCCTGAAAGTAATAAAAGCAATATTAGCTTTAAGAAAATGTACATATACAATGTAAAAATGGTTGTCAAAATTTTGGAATAAGAGAATTAGTACATTAAGAATCCTGTACAATTTATTATTTATTACCAAGAATAGTAACTTGCGTTTAATTCCGATATTTCAGTCCATTTATTTTTAAATCGGCGATAAAGGTTTTTGGGGGTGTAGTTTTGTGAATGTGTTTACTAGACTGCTATATACCGTACTGTAGTCAATACATAGTTTTCATCTTTCTCTAGAGACTGTGATATAGATATAATTTTGATCGTATGTATTTGATTTTGTAAATAATTTAAAATATTTGATATCCTTATACAATTTTACCTTTAACCTATTTATTGCATGTAGTTGAAGTTATTATGAAAGTCAAAACAAAAATTTATATCAACATTATAAAACGTATTAAATAGTAGAATTTTGTACTGAAATCAGATTTGTAGTTGTTGGACATGTTACTTTGTACACTTTGATGATTCAGTCAACCGTATTAAATTATTACAACATTTCTATATATTTGTTTAAATTGAAATCCTTTCTTATTTATTACAATGTTTCTTCATTGTAGACTCAATAAAATCTAATCTTAATAATTTATGTAAATCGCAACGATTAACAACCTAATTAAATAGTCGTTTGTAAGCATTATTTAAGGTGACGCTAATCTTGCAAATGGCAGGTAGTGAATAGCTAAAGACTTGGAACATGTAGGTACAAATTGGCGAAAATGTTTTCTTAAATTGTATAAGCTTTGTCTTCATTGTTTAATATACCTTTGTATTTTACCAAAGCCTTAGTACTAGACATACCTATCCTATCGACACTGATTGATAGATTTACAGGGCGTACAAAAGATCTGCGTAAGTATTATAAATTAAATTTTGTTGATAATATTAAGAAAACACATTTATCGTTCCTGTGCCAAAATTCTTAATTTGTCTAAAAAAAAATTCAATATTTTTAGCACATGGCCAATTTGACATTTATTACTAATTAAATCAAAGGTAATTTGATAATATGTATTTGACCTTCCCATGAGTCGGTTGGAGACTTTGCATTGTATCTTTTACATTCTTTTATGATAAATAATTATTATTCGCTCGTATATTCGAGCACGGAAACAATACACGTGTTTAGTAGGTATATTCACTTATAGGCAAGTCATTTAAGCAGAGCCTAAATAACTTTAAAATTTTACAAAATGAAAATCTTTATATAACGATAATCCTAAACGTATCCCAAAACCAATTTATAGAAAGGCTTATGTATATTTTCGAATATACATTACAATACGTTTTGTATTGTGTGCCTTTTAGATTAGTAAAGCCATTTTTGATATTCCCACCACGGTACCCTTAATTTTAATGTAAGTTTCCCTTCAGTTTGATAACAACTGAAAGTCCCAACAATTAAGGCTTTAATCAGCTTTTCTCATAAATATCCAACATTTGTGTGGTACATTCGCAGCCTGACTAATATGGGGTGTTACCATGGCAACGGGGCCCTACGCCCTTGTTATTAATACCCATAATAATTAAACTTGATTGCATTTCACACCAGGTGTTAGATGATGGCTCTTGTCAGAAAATAGACATGACCCCCTGTCAGTTTCGATGATATTCTGAAGAGCTAATAAATATACCTTTTAGGAGACTAATTTTTTAAACACTTAATATATAAAATGATACAAAAAATTATGTTTCCATTACGAGATTTATATCTTCCTTGGGAGAACAGGAACAAGAAGTATTTTGTAAAACAAAGATACACTTAATACGAAATAAAAATAATAAATATGCCTGCAGTGTCTTGTTTCTTAGTAAATATTTAAAAAGTCAGCGTCGCTCATAAATTGCGATCGCAATTAACTTAAGTTCTAAACGAAAATATTACAAGCTCTCAATTTAATCAAGCGAACCCCTCGACATAAGAAAACGTGACTGCATTCAATCATTCCAAATTCAGTTTTCTTTGATTTTTTATTCTCGATATTAATCAACTCACCCTCTAGCAATTTTCTGAGTAAAGAGCTCTTCGTCTCAGTCACAAAGGCAAAAAAAATGACATGTGCATTTTGTTGTTTGGACACAGTTTCCGTGAGGTTGTGTTTTTAGATAGTATAAAGTTAAGACGCACCGTTTAAATAAAACAATTAAAAATTGTTATTTTTGACCAAGTCTATCTAAATTATATTTTTTTCCCAATCTTTATTTATAAAATTTACATAGACATGACTGGCATTGATATTTTTTATATTATTGCATACATATTGATCAATTCTCGCACGATGTAAATGTTCCTATTGATCAAAGATCATCATTAATCATCCAAATAAGTAAGCATTTATGTATGTATGTATTCAGCCCTTTTTAACGTCGCAGTCCTGGGCACGGGCCTCCCTTTCATGTGAGGGGGATAAGGTCATAGTCCACCACGTTGGCCAAGTGCGGGTTGGCGTATTTCATATATCTTTCGAAAACTTGGTAAGTTCCGTCAGACAAGCAGGTTTCCTCACCATATTTTTCTTCACCATAAGACAAGTGATTATAATGTGGGAAATGATTCGCACATGAAAATATCAGGGGTGAGAGACTCGGGACGATTTGAACCCACTTCACTTGGTTCCCCAAGCCAGTGCGCTACCACTGGATTACCACTGCCTTTTAGTTAAGTTAAGCATATATACGCAATATTCTACTTAAACGTAAAGTCATGAACACAGCTCGTACATATAAGTATTTTTTGTCAAACCCGTAAAAGAAAGAAAGTCAAAGATATGAAGAAAACAAAATTAAAGTCATCAAAACATATGAGGCAAAACATATCCGATATGCCATATTATGTAGTATGGTCAGTAAATCAATGGTGGAAAACCCCCAAAATAATAATTGTAAAAGTATTGTAGGAGTTTTATTTTGACTAGTAACAATTTACTTCCAGTAGAATCCTACCACAAATTAACCATAGTAATCTATAAATCAATTTTAATTGTAACTAAATCAACCTAACTGATGGAAGTCACGAATTTTGAGAAATAATTATAAAAATTCCCGTAAAATTACAGTAAGAGGGTGAATAAATTACCCATAACACCGCGACTGAAAGTACCTTCCGAGCTATAATTCGTACTCCTTCGGTCCGGGGTTCCATATGATATTTATAGACATAGATAAGGCCTACAGATGGCGTGCAGTTTTCCTTCCCCTAATACTTGTTGAGTTATGGTTTCCAATTTTCAGTTCAACGCTTCAGGTAGGCAGAGGTGTCTCTAGAGATTCTTGGAGAATCGATAGAATAGTTGTTTGATAAATGTGTCTTTCAATTGAATTGTTTAGTTGAATTCTGGAATTGTGTTTTTTTTATAAAACTTAGTAGACAAAAAATACTATAACTTATAATGAAACTAGTAAAATTCTATATTAAAATTTTTGTAACAGAAACATATTGAATGATTATATGTTCACATTTGTCACAGAGAAACAGAGCAAAGAGGATAGACAACATCAATAAGGAACATCAAAACAAATTTTAAGCGGGTCACTATTGAGGTTTATTCTGACTTTGTTAAAGATAAGTTCGTACTTGTTTCATAGATAGAAAAAAATGTCAAAAAATTATTATAGGTGGTTAAAGAAATTGATGAACCACTTCCAGAGGCTTAATCTATTCATCTTACAGATGAATGTTTTATTATTTTACTTGTTTATTCAAATTACTACTGATAATTAAAATAAAAAATGGCATATTTAAAGCATATTATAAATGATCCTTAACATTAGTCACGGGTGAAGGAAATCAACACAGAATTATGACATCGGTGTACAATACGCCGCGGGGGTCACGCAATACAGTGCCCATTTTCGGTGATTTATTACTTAGACAATGACTAATATAACTAATAAATAAATTGGTTTTCCTTTATTTACTTTGTAATCGGTTTAATATTAAACGGTCGGTGAAAGTATGTATGTTGAAGACGGAAGTAGTTTAAAAATTTGAAAAGGATTTTTTATAGAAAGGAAGTATTAAAAAGCTTTAATAATAATTAGGTATTAAATTTTTAAGTACTAAATTAAACATATGGACAATATGAGACACATTACTTTTATATTACAGACTAGCGACTCACCCTCGCTTCGCTCGTCCCTAGGTACATTTTAATTTTTTTGATCGGAACCCTAATTCTTTTACTGAAATAAAAGTAGCCTAAGTTACTCTTTATAACATTAATTACCTGCCAGTGAAAGTCCCGTCAAAATAGGCCTAGCTGTTTCGGAGATTAGCTGAAAAAAACAGACAGACAGACAAAAATTTAAAAAATTGTGTTTTTCTTATAAATACCGTATATAAATCCATATGCATGTAGTAAAAAGCTGTAATTTTGACATTACAAACAGACGCTTCAATTTTATTTATCTGTATAGATATTTATCTGTATAGATTTAAAAAGAAAGTACTGATAACTTATTAGAAGTTTTGGGTCGTTACTGAAGTGGTATTATGCGAGATTTTCGAATATTTGCCTCGTCAATACAATGTTTATCCTTATTAGATCAACTTCAAAAAAGTAGATTTTGAGTCGTTAGTCACCACGCGTCTTCATATAATAAGTCTGTGCAAAGTAAACATAACACGTTTCTGTTCTGTTTACTGTACAGTATATTATAATGGGTTATGATAGAAAATGATATAAATATTTATAAACTCATAATAAAAGTCACAATTTTGTAATAAAATTATACTAAAATATCTTATAAAGTTATAAGATAAGCTTTAACAGAAGTTTGAGTCTTGAATAAAGGAGTTATTCCAAGTAAAGTATTATGAATAAACAATTTATTAATTCAGTTCATTTTCTAAAACCATAAAAACTAGCAAAGTGCTTATTAGTAAGATTGAAACATAAAACACGACTGTACTTAAAATGCATGTATATTGTAA